TAAATGTGAAACGGGGTCCAATTTTAGTATAGACGACTCTCGAGGTAGTCGGCTACAACGAAAAAAGAGTTGTTACGTAATCGGGCGCTAAACTCCATAGCAATCTTTTAAATTATCCTTTAAATCACTTACAGAACTTTGTACATTTTGAGTTACCTAGCTATTGAACACGCTAACACAGATTATCGTTTCTTTTTATGGAACGAAGCATCTGAGATACTAGGTCAATCATAATAGTAACTCATTTAAATCCAAAAAAAATTGTATGTTGGCACAAATGTTGACTCCAGTTAGGATTCAGAGCCAGAACTCGAGGTTTAGAAAATACAGTCCTTGGCCTAACCCTGGAAATTATTAATTCCACGAAATATTATAAACATGCAATACATTAATTTACGTTTTAATGACGTGAGACATTTGTGTCTAAAAACTGTTGTTTCTTGTTTGTAGTGAAAATCGATTTCAGCTAATGACAGACCAACGCGAAGTAATCATGTTCGTGGCGTTAAATATTCAAAAGCTGTATTTACCCTTGTGATCGGACGTTGATGATAGAATAATGAAGGCAACGCATTAAACAGATTTACTTTGCACTGCCTTGTTATTATTCATCGTAAAACAATTCTTGACTATTTGAATTTTTTATTGTCTTAAGTATTGAAACCTTAAATTTTAATAAAAAAAATAGTCTGATTCTCCAGAATCTGGTGCTAAGACATTCTGTATAGAAGAATTAAAGCCCTTACTTCGGAAGTAGTTATGCTGAATTTGTTTAGTTGTTTGAAGCCGACTTTTACTTTTTATTGAAAGTTTAATATTTTGACCCTTTAGAGTGTACTAAGAAACATCACAGGCTCAAGTTAACAAAGAAACAGAATGTCGTCAAAATAATTAGAATACAAACTTCATCCCCTATTTTCCCACCCTTAAGGGTAAAGTTTTTTCTCCAAATTCATATGGGACCACCTCTGAAGTATAACTTGTTTGCTTAAAAAGGAATGGAAGGAATCAATGACACACAATTGATGAACATATCGCGTAACTTACCCACAAAATAGAACATAAAATCAAATTTAGAACCACCTCCTTTTTTGAGTTGGCCAAAAAATAATTCCTAGTAAGTACCATAATATGCTTTAGGTGAAACTATATAGTTTATATGTATGTATGTATGTATGTTCTATGTATAAACCTATATACCGATACATCTGAGACGTGGTTCTTCACTGCTGGCCGTATGAGGAAGCTCAAAGTCGCTCGGCGAGCTATGGAGAGGGCTATGCTTCGCGTTTCTCTGTATTATGGAGTTAAAAACGAGAATATCCGCAGTAGAACCAGATTAACAGACATAGCCCAAAGGTAGTAAGCTGAAGTGGCAATGGACTGGCTTGAAGAACCGACAATCGATGGGGAAGAAAGGTTCTCGAGTGGCAGCCTCGCACCGGCGAGCGAAGTGTAGGGCGTCCCCCCACTAGATGGAGTGACGACCTGCTAAGATATACAGGAAGTCAATGGATGCAGGTGGTTTGCGACCGTACTTTGTAGAATTCCTTGGGGGAGGCCAATGTTCAGCAGTGGACTTGCGAAGGGCTGTAATGATGATGATGATGTACTATGTGGCGTTCATTAGGGGAGAACTGTGTTCAACAGTAGATTTGTGAAGGGCTGTAGGTTTAAAGGTTAGAAAAGTGTAATACTGCGATGATCAAACACCTGCTAAACATGACAAGAAAAAGAAGAGATTAATATATGTAAGTATGTCAGGCTTCACCCAAAATAGTTTTTTGCTTATCTGTAAAACGAGTTATTTGATTTTTTTTAAAGTATTCATGATGGTCTCTATTTTCACGTCATTTTCAATAAGTCTATGTGTTGTATATGTCACAGTCAAAACTCATAACCGGCCTAAACCACTTTTAACTGCATAAATCAGGCAAAAAATTGGTTTTCACCGATGCCCTTAGTCAAAAACAGTTTTTACTGATTTTTGTAGTAAAAGTTGTTTTAACCAACATTGTTAGTTAAAAGTGGTGTTGTCTGATTTAAACTTCAGACTATCGGTCTAAACTCTGAATCTCAGTAATAGTAGGTTAAGTTGCAAGTTGTTATAATAATATAAAATATAATATTAAATAAATTGAACTTTATAATTTCAGAAATCCAAAAAGTATAAGTCAAAAGAAGTTTTGACTAACATTGTTGGTCAAAACCACTTTTAAGCGATGTAATTTGGTCAAAATCACTATATATATCCAGTATTTTTGCAGTCTTTTTTAATCTTTATTTTCAAAAAAGGGGTTTTGTAGTCTTATTTAATCTTTATTTTCAATAATAATATTTTAATCTTTTTTAATCTTTATTTTCAAAAATAATATTTTTGCAATCTTTTTTAAACTTTATTTTCAAAAAAGCGGTTTGTCACACAGTGACTATGTCACCCCCGTAAAATACGAGGGTGATATTGAAAGTTTTTAGAACTGGCCCCTGGTAAACGATATAATAAAAAAATAAGTTCATATATTGAAAATGGAACTCTTTGCCAATATTATTGTGTATGTATAAATGACAATATGTATAAATGACAAACTTATTGGGCCTTATTTTATGCCTCAAAATATAAACAAGGAAATTAACGAAATTTTTTTGCAAAATAATTTGGAAAACTTATCAGTAGATGTTCCAGAAGAAATTAAAAGTAATTTGATTTATCAGCATGATGGCTCTCCAGCTCACTTCCGGTTATAAGTGGATTGAGAGGGGAGGGCCAATTCCGTGGCCTGCACGAAGTCCTGATCTGACGCCACTAGACTTCTACGTTTGGGGTCACACGAAGGACTTTAAATTTTCTTGAAGAAGAAGAAGACTTCGAAGGCGTATCTTAAATGCAGCGGATCAGATTAGGGCTACAATATATTCAAAAATAACGAAACACGAAGTTAGGAAAATAATCAGGACGTGTATCCGCAACCAAAGGGCTCATATTGAGCAATATATTTCATATTAATCTTTAAAAGTTGTTTAAGTTTAGAAATGACACACATTAGTTTAATTGACTGTTCGTTTTGAATAAATGTCTTCACCGGGATATTATTGCCTTTTTGGATAGCTAATTAAATGGCCATGTTTTTTAAAAAATTTTATGTCTCATGTCATTATTTTTATTGTGAATACTTATTGTACTTTTTATGATTGTATTCGCCTGGTTGAAACTTCAAGAAAATAAATAACCTTAAAAGAAAGCACACAAAAAGTTGTTTTATTTTTATTTAAAATTTAATATGAAATTCTCGGTGATTATTAAAAAGTCTGTCAAATTCGTATATCTCACGACCTGTTCATTTTCGGCCATACATGTAGTGGGTTCAAAATTGTAGCATTGTGACTCCCCAATCACGCCCCGCCAGGAAGTTGTCGAGTTCCCAGTAACCCTGTATAAAACGATACGTTTACTAATAATATTTGTATCATTCAAATCTCCATTAGTATTTCTAAAAATATGTGTAAGGTGTTATTCAAGTTGAAATTTTAGTGCAAAGATACTAAAATGTTGTTAGTTTGCTGAATTCTTAGCATTTATTAGCTTAGTGTCTATGTGCTTTATTTTTATAAGTACTTGATATCAATGTTTTTGATATAATTGAAGTTGTTAAATAAATCAATACAACAAATATTGACCTTCGATTTGTTCATAACTGACTCTAGTCTGTTTTCTATATTTTTATATTTTTACATACACATCCAATACCATGAGTGCTGCTAGTAAATCGAATATGTTAGATATAGAGCTTTTACGAGTATGTCCTCTAAGAAACACGTGGCATTATCATTATTATATTTTATTATAAGCTATAATCAATATTCGAAAATTGTCTAGATATTCAAAATTAGCAATAAAACTACATAGTCATAAATTTTAAAGTAGATTTACATTTAAAAATACCTAACAAGGGTTTTTGAAATAGTGTAAAAACCAACATGTATTTCCAATGTGAATATTTATAATTAAATTGTAAGTGATCCATTTTTTTAGATTTTAGATTTTATACGTGGTAGAGCCATGCTGCAGCTATATTATTAGTATAGTTGTAGCACGAATGGGTCGGCTTGACCGGGTAAGGACCACGCTTTCACAGAATAGCAGCGTAAAATGGCAGCTTGACACTGTTGTGTTTCGTATGGTGAGTGTAGAGAACCGGAGACCCATTTTACTGGAAAAGAGGCAATACCATCTTAGTCCTCACGGGAGACGACGCATATGCATTTTGATTCTTCATTGAGGATATATGTAGATGTCTATGGGTCACAGCAACCACTTACCATCAGGTGAACTGTGTACTCGTTTGTTAAGACGATGAAACGGAATATAAAAAATGGTCTCCACGTTCTTCTGCAAGTCGGATCATATCACTACTGTAATGGTAAAAGATCAAGAAACGATTGACTTTGAGTATATGACAGTTCGTGAACGAAAAATATTATCGGCTTAATACGATAAACGTTCAAAGTTAGGAATCTGGCACCTTCTCTGGCACCACACCAACGTCGTCTAGCACAAGTCCGCATTAACTCCCGAACTTTTTAATTCAATATATTTGTCTCTATATTCTGTCTCAACCGCTATATTCCCCTGAACTGAACCTTGCGATTTTTTCCTGTTTTAAACAATCAAAGAAAAAATTAAAGTCACGAGGTAGAAAGCAACTTCACTATACACAATAGAAAGTTATGGCTATTTACATGTAAGTGTTCTAAAAAATATCTTATTACACCATCTTACTGATATTAGTTTGAAGTGCAATAATCGATGTTTATTTAAAAATTATGAATAATTTATAAAAACTTACAAATCAATACACTACAATCAGTCCATGAACCTTTCCATATTAAATGCTTTTCAAATATTTAGTTTACACAGAATGTTGACACGTTAAAATAGACTGCAGATAAAATTAAAACTGTATAGCAGTGAAAACTTGCAGTTTTAGTGTTGAATGTGAACAATGGACGTTCTTAAATTTTCATGGATTAAACTAACTCAAACAAAAGCTTTGAATCAACCATGTGGAAATTTAGAGAAAGTTTTCTTTGAATCTTCGTACAGACTTACATATGTAATGGGTGCGATATATTTTGTGGTATTAACATTGACTACTTTATTTTTCTTAGCATTTTGAGGAAACCAACGGTTGTGGAAAGATTTGATTGTTAATCGGTTTCGGGCCGATAACTCCTCCATTCCTCGAACACCTTTTATATTATGAATCAACTGCTATTGATTCAGTGAATACAAATATTCCATTTAATTATTCATAACCACCACCATTACAGCTCTTCACGAGTCCAACGACATTTTCCGAAAATTCCACAAAGCACGTTCCTAAGTTATAGGCATCCATTGACTTCCTGCATGTGTTAACAATTCGTCACTTCACCTACAAAGGGGCCGCCCTATACTTCGCTTACCGGTACGAGTTTGCCACTTTTCTTCCTCATCCGTAGTTGGGTTTTTTTCCATCTATATGGCTAAATTAATATAATTTCTTTTTTTATATAATAAGGCAAACAAACGAGCACACATTCCACCTGATGTTAAGTGGATTAAGAATCAAAATGCAGATGTGTTATCACCCCTGAGGAATAAGATGGAATACCTCGTTTCCAGTAAGCGCGATCGTAAACATTTAAGTGTTGCGATGTGTATTATTGCGGCTTTTAAAATATTTTCTTGAAAGTAATTTGTTTTTCAGAACTAAATACATCTAAAAGGCTTGGAATGGATTCACTGATATTACAGTTTTTATACATCGTAGTGTTACCAGAATATAATTTTGCAACATGCCTGTACCAGGACTACTTTCTCTTTTTCCGCTTCTGAAAGAAATATTAGAATACAACAAATAATTTCTTTTGCCCTTCTCCATGAAACCGACCAGCTGTTTAACACTTGACTTCCGTTGCTTTATTACAAATTTCCTTACTTTCAGCTCACCGCCCTCTAATACCTTCGTTTTAAGCCCCCGTCAAAACTGTATATTAGGTTTTGGAGGAATGCGTGGCTATTCTCAAAATCACCTCTACCTCCTCACTCATTTAGACATTGTTTTTTCTTAATTCTAAAAATAAATTGATAGGAAAACAATTACCCCAGTTTCTTGCCAGTTCTTCTCAATATATGTAAAGGTCTCACTTTAGAAACAGCGGTAGATTTTGACTTTGTTATGATTTTCAGAAAACCTAAAATGAATAAAACATTTTTCACTTTCTTGAATTAACTACATACCTATAATATGTGCTTCGTTTTTGTTAAAATTTGCAGGCCTTTCGACATCTGAACAAAGTGCATATTATTCAGTTTACAGCGGAATCGTAAAGTCAATAATTGGTTTATTTATTTGTTGCGAATTGTGGAACCTGTTCAGCGAGACCAGCAACTTAAATAGCATCATAGACAATATCAACGTAACTCTTATCCATCTTATTGCAGTCTTTCGATACAAACATATGGTATTTACTTCTTTTTTATTCCTTTAAAAAAATTTAGTTTCAATTTAAGACAATATATAAAGAAAAAAGTATTGCAGTGGGAATTTAATAATATGTAAAAAATTTCCAAACCTTAAATGTCAGACTCAGCTGTGTATGAGAGTTTTTTCCGCCCATTTCATCCCGTAAGTGTATTAAGAGGTCACATGATCAGCAGGCTGTTAAAGATTAATCATGTAGTTTAAATTATGGTGAAATTAAAAATAAACTTGACATAATGTATCAAAGTTTCCCATGTGATGACGGCCTAAGAGAATCCTTCATATAATTTCGTCTCGTGGGTATCGTAGAATAAAGTAGAATAGAAGGTCGATTCTAGCTCTATTCTAGCGTTAGCGGGCGGAAGTGGCGTCAAAATTATGAGACGTTTTGTACTGCGATCGTCAATCTACATGCCAAGCGTGACGAAAAAGTATATACTCAAACTAATGGAAGAGACCTATTCCCAGAAGTTTTGTAAATATTACGATCTGATAATGATGCATATTCAACGTATTACGAGACTTGGCAGCTGCTGAGCAAAGCGCTTGCTGATATTATCATATTGAGCAGGTAGGCCAAGTTTGATCTCCGTATATTGAATAGTGTATAATCTGGGGGCACGGCAGTGAGATCCATGTTTTGTAAATATTACGATCTGGTAATCCAAACAATCTAATTTAATATAATATGTATTACTTGTGAGATACATTGTGTTTTCATGCGAAGGGCAAATCAATCTATTTATTTAAAACATAAAAGATTGTTAATATTGATATGGTCACTATCAGATGTTGTTAGGTTAGCTAATTACGTAATAACTTGAGACAAAAGGAGATTTAAGTAGGGACTGAATAAATTAACCGTCTGGGTATTACATGGCTCTCACAACTTTTTTCGGTAGAATCATTGAGCTGCGAGACTTGATTTTTTTTACAAGTTATGTTTTAATGGCATCTATTATTTCCAGCGTCACCAGTAAACTGTTATAGCCATTTTAATGTTGATTTACTACGTGCCCGGTAATAAAGAAAATATACTCTACTTTTTTAATAGAATACAGGGTGAGAAATTAACATGCAGACCACCTAAGTGATTAGGATATGTAGAATACTACTATGACATATTATGTAGATTAATTTATCTTATATGTATACTTTATCGTATCGTTAAATATTTCAGGTTTGGAATGAATCTTTCTTCAAAAAACTGGCGACATCCACACAATCACCGTATTTTGATATTTCCACCAAAGAGAGAAAAGAATTGATGGTTTTGTGGGCTTCCAAAAATGAAAAATATTTGAGATTATTGCTTACATTGGGATCTTGTACATTATCTGTGTGGTATTTTTAACATTTATATATTCATTGCTTATGTAGGTTATATTTTCCATAATGCTTAAGATTTTATCAGATCTCATTTGGTAAAAGTAAGGATAAGGTAAGTGTTTAGCCTAGCAGTTATAATCCATTGTAAAATAAATAAGGTGATGCTATTCAGTGGCCTACACACGTAGAACTTTAAATTTTGCGACTATTTACAAGTAAGTGATTGTAGAGTTCGAGAGAAAATCGAAATTCATGAAAACTACTTATTATGCAACTAAACGGAAGCTGGATTGGGTTACGATATCGTAAAATACGAGATAAAAATCAGTCATATACGAACTTAACACACACATATCCTTATGCGTTAGTAGAATTTAACACTAGCAACCGGAAAAGATAACATGTTGTTTAGATTTCAAACATAGATATAAGTAAAAGTGAATCGAAAATAAATTTAATTGATATAGGGCTAAAATGACTATGGTACTCGTACATTCCACAAATCCTTGAAAGCCAAAATATAAGGTCGGGGAAAAAGTTTCTTCGTATTTTATATACAAATTCAAACTTTAATTACATTTAATTATAATATATATGTGCCATTTTGTTTGATAACTTGTTGCCATCTTGTAGGTAGTGACATAATCCCGTTGCTGTAGAAATCTTGAGATTTTTGATCAAAAAAATGAGACAAGTAGTTTTGACAGTCCTCTGTTAACGTTATCCTAACACTACCCGAAGATTTCTGAAGTGACCGAAACAGGTAAAAATTTGAGAGTGCAAGGTCAAGACTATACTCGTATGGTGGATGTATTAACACTTACCAACCAAACTCTCTCAATTTTTGCTGAGTGGCCAAATGTGTCTGTGATCTGACGTTATTATGATGAAAGACCACTCTTTTTCTGTTGATCATTAGGTACAGACCGTTTTTTCTCAATTCCTTGCGTGAGTCTAATTAGTTTTTAGCAGTAGAGATCCGAATCAACGATTTGTCCGGCGGTAAAAGCTCATATTAAACGATGCCCATGCAATCCCACCATATACACAGCATCACATTATTGCGTGTTAATCCGGGTTTCGCTAGTCTGTGGAGCTTGACTAACCTTTGACAATGATTTTTTTCACACGATCTTATCATAGGTAATCAACTTTTCATCACTAGTGATCAATCTTTTCAAAAATAGTTCTATTTCATTACGTTTCAATAGAGAATCGCAAATGATTACAAGATTCATTAGGTTTCTTTCAGTGAGCTCGTGTGGTACCCAAATATCGAGATTTTTGTATAGGTAGACATTTTCAAATGAGTCAAAATCTTTTTGTGGTCAATCCCCAATTTTTCGGCTACGTTGAAATTACTGATATGCCGATCTTGCTCCACTTTTACAAAAATGGCATCGACTTTATCCGTAAGAGGGCGACCAGCCGGGCTATTCACAATCGTCTCGGAAAGAGAAATCGACTCGGATTCGATAACTTCTCGCATCGAAACCAATAAACGCTATTCACATTTAACGTTCGGATAAAGGTCACTTAGATACATCCCACAACTATTGTATCGTCATTTAGTTACATGCATTTACGAATTTTGTAGATAAATAAGCATTTTGTATTTTTTTAGAGTAACGCCTTAACAAAATCATAATGCAATATTTTGGTGTTAGCGATTGATATCGAATATAAAAAATATATAATTTAACTGTATAATAAATAACAAAAAAACTGAGATATTTCTCGTTTCTGTCGGGTCTGGGTTTTTTTTTTTTCTATGGGGCGTGACCGCTCGTCTTTGACGTTTGCTTTCGATAATTGTGACAGTTTGCATCGGAAACTTCACGAGGCTTGCGAAAACTTGAATATTGATGATGATGATTAGAAGAGATAAATAAACCCTTTTAGTTATAAGGTAGGTAACATAAAATAATTACAATTATCTATAGGACGTATTTTCATATAATTACTTCAATATTTGCACTTAATCGTAAAGCTGATTTTTTTGTGAAAGGTGTGTTTTTATATGTTTTTTTTCGTTTCAGTTTTTTTGTTATTTATTATATAGTTAAATTATATATTTTTTATATTCGATATCAATGGCTAACACCAAAATATTGCCTTATGTTTTTGTTCAGGCGTTACTCTAAAAAAATACAAAATGCCTATTTATCTACAAAATTCGTAAATGCATGTAACTAAACAATAGACGATCCAATAGTTATAGGATGTATCTAAGTGACCTTTATCTGAACGTTAAATGTGAATAGCGTTTATTGGTTTCGGTGCGAGAAGTTATCGAATCCGAGTCGATTTCGCTTTCCGAGACGATTGTGAATAACCCGGCAGAGCGAGCTGCATCTTTCACTTCAAAATTTCCGGACTGGAACAGAAACATAAATATAAACTTTTTTATTTAATGTAGATTATAAATAATACGTATTAAAAGTAACTCTTTTAATTTACCACTGGTTTGGAAAAAAAAATCTCTTTCCTGGGAAGAACCAGCAAGAAAACCAGCAGGACTTTTTTTAATCGTGTATGTTACAATTAACAGCACAAAACAAATTAGAAATAGCTTTGTAGTTGGTAGAGAGTAATTGCGTTCTGTGGCTTAGTAGCAATCACCTTTCCCAGGGTTTTTTTATAGGATAAGAGTGAAAATGAGCACACAGTCCACCTGATGGTAAGTGGTTGCTGTGGCCCATAGACATCTACATTTATCTTCGATTACGAATCAAAATGCAGATGCGTCGTCACCCGTGAGGACAAAGATGGTATACCTCTTTTCCAGTAAAATGGGTCTCCGGTTCTCTACACTCACCATACGAAACACATCAGTGTCAAGATGTCATTTTACGCTGGTATTCTGTGAGAGCGTGGTCCTTCCCCGGTCGAGCCGACCCATTCATTTATTTATATTTAGATATACATATAATAATTGTATAGAAAAGTGTGTGTAAAAATGAAGCCAGCTAGTGTTTTAATAAATCTATTATATTTTAGATCAATATAGATTCTTTATCCATATTTAATAAAATGCCACTTGTATAGAGATAGTTAGGTAATGAAGTTTAGTATTGATATTTTCAGGTATGTCTTCCCCCTCGTAGACGATTTGCAATATAACCTGCCTATAGAAATACGCCTTCCCTTCGACTACCGCAACCCGATGCTCTACCCCCTCACCTACATCTTAGAGGTTGTCGCAATTAATTACGTCTCGTTCTTCGTAATGACTATTGACGTTATTATGCAAGCTCATTTAATACAGCTTATTTGCCACTTTACGGTACTGGCCAATTGCTTTGAGAATATTCTGGTTGATTGTTCACCAAAAGGTAATTGTCTTTAGCAATTAGTAATATTATAGTTAAGGGATTACGATAGCTGGGTCGTGTGGCGTATAAATACTGCTCAAACTACTATTACTATATTGTTGGGCCAAGTTGCTTTGACTTAATAATATTGTTACGAGCTTGGGATTCGAGACAATTAAAAACTGCCGATTGAATTACCAAAATTGACACTTTAATTACACAACACTAATTACAATCTAAAATCACACTAATAATAAAACACAGTTCGCCGTTATTTCGCTACGAAGTATTCTCTTGTATCGCCAATTCAATACTGCCCCGGTCGTGGTCTATACCGGCCTTATATAGGGCCTCAGATAGTTTCCAGAACCTTCTACTGTAGCGACATCTAGAATGTTCGAGTACATATCGGTCCCGAAATTTCTGGAAGGATCTCGACTCTCCTAGTTCTGCTACTCGACACTAGAGGGCGCTAGTGTGACTAGTGTTGCCATGTACAAGACATTAATAGTGGCGCGCAATACTTTCATTTACTCGACACTAGGGGGCGCTAGTGTAACTAGTGTTGCCATGTACAAGACATTAATAGTGGCGCGTAACAATATGTATCAGGTATAGAGTATATTATTTAGGTTATTTGTAGTTATATATATTTATTTTTGTATTTACACGTATGGTATGTATGTTTTAATATTTATATTAACGTGTAGATATTCTCATGTTTTTATGGCAATCTCTACTTAGTTCGTTGACTGGTAGAGAATGCCTAAATGCATTAGGTCCGCTAATTGTACATTTTAAGTGCAATAAAGATTTTTAAATGAAAATAAATAAATAATTTGTTCATAATTTAGAGTAATTGTGACGCTAATGAAACTTACCCAAGTTGATTATTTGGGCAAATTTGGATCGCCTAGAAAAACATTTGCGTAAGCTTTAGAAAAGTATATTAGCGGTAAATCCGCGTGCAAAAATAAAGAAAATTCTCCTGCCTCCTCCTAGCTACCCATGTTGATTGTGCTACCCATGGACACCTTACAATAAATATAAAATACCATAGACTTAATATACTGGTATATAGACTGATATAGTGTGCAAGGGAGAAAAAAATTCCTTATGGCAAAAATGCAAGTTAGAAAAGGATACCAAATCTCATGACTCTGTAACCGATTTTGAATGACAGTTCGGCACAAGTCGGCACGCAAGAAATAGCTCCTAGATATTTTGTAATTTCCAAAATAGTTACTTGTTCTGTGAGTGACTGTGGTGTTAATAATAGAAATAATCCTGATAATTGCACATTGCACAGGTAAATTATCAACACGTTGTCAATGTTATGAAGCGTTTATTTTTGGTTTAAATTTATATTATGTACTGTTTAAAGTAATCTTCAATTTTCTTAATTTTGATATATTGCATAGAAAAAAAATCACATTGTTGATAATTTGCATGAGTGAATTTGGTGAATACATTTTTTTTACAAAATATTTTACATGTACGCTAGGGATTGACTCAAAAAAAATGTTTATAATGAATCGATAGACTTGCCCACACAGGAAGAAAATAATTTAATAAAAGTACTTTTACGGATTCTATCCCGTTTAATTAACTTATTTTTTGATTTAATTCCGACGTTTCGGGTGCTTTGCAGCACCCGTGGTCACGGGGGACTGAGGTGATTAACGTCCCGATGTCAGAGTTAACCCGGAGTACCTTCAGTTTTCTTAATTATTAATTTTGGTCTGACCTACGCAGAATGAACTTACTGTGTCCAGAAGTATGCTTGGGTTTAGTTTTAATTTTATTCATTACAGGATCCCAAGTAGATGGTAGTACCCAGCCTCCCTCTCTATTGAAATTAGTATGCTTTTTTTTAATTTCAATAACCTTACGTATCGTTCTTGGCAGGAATCGATGTTCTGATGTAATGGCGGCGGCCGTCTAGGATACGTTCACAAACTGCAGAATTCTCGGAACTTAGATTAGCCGGAACAAACAGACAGACAGACGAAAATTTTAAAAATTGTGTTTTTGTTATAAGTACCGTATATACTTTCATATGCATTAAGTAAAAAGCTGTTATTTTTACATTACAAACAGACACTTCAATTTATTTATATGTATAGATGTATAGATAAAACTGTAGTATATTAAAGATAAAAAAATCTTGATTAAATCCTCTTTAAGCAATTATGAACCCAACTAAGTATCTATTTATCAACCAAAATAAATGTAGGTTATACAACTTACTTACTTATTATACTTAACCAACCGCACAGCTTCACGGTCACACTAGTACAATATTCATAGCATCACACTATTTTCCCCAAGAGGTTGAATGGAGCTGCGAACTATATTCCCAAGTCACAATGATAAAACTTTTAGCGTAGTTAGGTATAGATATTTAGTAATGCTCCTGAAGCGCCACTAGATGCCCGCGAATGAGACGCGATAGTATAAATTCCATAGTATTTGATACTCACCACGCTCGATGTCCGATTCATGCTTGATAGCCGACGACATTGTGCCGAGGGCGTTAGAGCGTGGTTCACCGCCTACAGCGTTTGTCGTAGAGTAGAGGAACTCGTGGTTAAGTAGGAGCTGCACGGATCAATACATTTGCGATATTAAATTTCACTTGCCGCGGTCAGTCCATGAATAAATGACAATTTTCCTAACATATAGAGATTGAGAGAATAGAGAGTGCATCTGTATCCTCAGACACTTGGTGCACTTTACTCTGTTAAGATCATTTTCTTTTTAAAATTCATGCAGCTAAAATCTTAATAAGTTTATTATTACTTTATACTTTTCAGGCACAGATGAAAGAATATAGACATGAAGCAATGACGAGGCCTCATGAACATATTGGCCTTTAGACAGAGCAATCTTATTTAACAGATTCCTACAAGTTTCCTTGCTTAAATTATTAGGTTTACATTCATATTAAAGTCGAATGTTAGAATATACTTTTATAAATTAATAATTAAATGTTTGTAATTATGAAAAGTAATACTTATATGAAAAATAAAGCAGTCATAATGTACTCCATGTCTCCGTTTTATATTTCCCCATCAAAACATTTTATAAAATATAAAAAATATAAATAGGTATATACTTACTTAAGTATCTACCTATTTATATTAACAATATGTTAAAAAAGAAATGGCAGTAAATATTTTTCCCCAAAGATCATAGCTCGAAGATACCACTTTGGGAACTGATTCTTGGGGAGAGATTTTTTTAAACTTATCGGTAGTCAATTTTTGAAGTTATTTAGTTTTGTGCACTAAACAAAAAAAAATATTTTTACCGCTTCCCTAACAATCATTTTTCGTTAGTACTTATAAGTAAAATGTATATCGCTAGCTAACGCACACAATGACAAATCAAGATTAGTCACGCGTTTTTGGACTGTCAGGTCGTCTATACGCCAGTATATTCTAAGTCTATGTAAAATACAATCTCAAAAATAGAAGGATACAAATACATTATCACCTCTATCAAAATCGCATACGGGCTCTGTTTCTTTAACCTTTGTAGGTGCATTGTTGCTTACGACAGAAATAAGTACGATTATATTAGTAGGCCTGCTACAAACTCTAAGCAAAAAATAACCTATGGTTTATTTACGGTAGAGACCGACAAAAAATTTACAAGTCCCGTCGGTGGATTTTGTTATGATTACACTAGCCCAGTGTAGTAGCAGAATCGCTATGTACTGTACTGTACTGGTGTCAACTAAGGAAATTTTATAAATGAAAAATACGAAAAAAGTGATCATTGTAGCATTACTAACAATCACTGAGAAAAATTAAAATTCGGTATACAACTTTAACGATTTATTACAGGACTTCAGACAACGAAATACGTTATATATAATAATAAATTCAAGACAAAATATTTAAAGAGATTCGACAAACTTGTGGATCAGCATAAATTTATTTTAAAGTAAGTAGTCACAAAAAAAAAGATTATAATAAATTGATGAATGTCTTTTTTATTACAGTGGAGACTAGCAAGAGGTAGGACACAGAATTGAGTTATTTATTAAGTAATTGCTTATTGATAAGTTTCTATTCAGTACAACTGGTTTACCCGGCAAAGCGTAATATATCAGTAAGATAAAGTGACAATGAGCCGTTTTGCACCTCGTACCGGAACCACCCACTAAACGGAATGACGACCTGGTAAGATATGCTGAAGTCGATGGATTCAAGTGACTCAAGACCGTGCTTTGTGGCATTCATTAAGGGAAGCCTGTGTCCAGCAGTGGACTTGTGAGAATATATTACGATGACGATAGTGTTGATGGATTCGTGTGTGTTACTCATGAATGATATCAAGTAGCGTCTGTTAAAATAATTTGCTCATATAAGAATTAAATTTTAAATAAAAGGGGGTCATTGTAGAAGCGTGCTCGTCGCGACCCCTGTCAGCCCTTTTCAGGGCTGCAATTCTACTCAGCTGCGCACCCATGCCAACGAGGGTTAGGGCGTCCCCCCAAGGCGACGCACACCAGCTCATCCCCGTTGGTGTGGAATGCAGCGCGCAAAGCGGCGATGGGGACCGCCACCCGTCACGCACAGCCCGACACGGCGGAAGGTGGAGGACAGAGTGCAGAGTTGGCACGTGGAATGTTAGAGGAGGCATGAGGGATAAGATGAATGAGTTGATCGAAATAATGAAAGAAAGAGAATTAGATGTCGTGTGTATGTCGGAGACCAAGCGGAAAGGCAGTGGTACTGAAGAGCTCCCTGGCGGGGCGTTAGCTCTATGGTCCGGAGTCCCGGAGAGCGAGAACGCCTGCCAGGGAGTGGGGGTGCTGCTGTCTTCTCGGTTGGTCGATGTTATGACTGAATATAAGGTTGTGAACTCAAGACTTCTCTGGGTTCGCTTTAAATTGAGACTGACGAAGTTATTCCTTTTGGCTGTTTATGCGCCGGTAGCTTCGTCGTCCAGGGCTGAGCTGGAGGAGTTTTGGGAGAATGTAAGAGAAGTTCTAGATTTAGCTAGGGGAAACGAAAGAATTGTTGTATGTGGTGATTTGAATGGATGGGTTGGTACTGCTCGACCAGGGTACGAGTCGGTACTTGGAAAGTTTGGCGATAAAAGGGTTAATGATGCTGGCAAGCTTATATTGGCGGTGTGCAAGGAAAAGGGTCTTCTTGTGACAAACACTATGTTTAATCACAAGAAAATCCATATGTATACTAGAGAAAGAAAGAATGAGAGAAGTATGATCGATTTGTTCCTGGTGGATGACCGACTGCGAAAACAGGTGATGGATACGCGAGTGTTCAGGGGTGCTGACCTGGGAACGGATCACTATCTAGTGATTACTAGATTTAGGGGTCTGTTCGCGGGTTGGCGCTACCGGACGGCAGTAACAGAACCACAGTCGGTCTGTCGCATCCGAAGCTGGAAGCTTCAGGAAGCGGATACTAGGGACAAATATCATGCGAGGGTAGCCGAAAAGCTTGACACCATCGATGGCAGAAAAGAATGTGTAGAAAGAACTTGGCAGAACCTTAGGGATGGAATGGTAAGTGCAGCGGAAGAAGTGTGTGGAACAATAAAAAGAGGCAGTAGTAAAAGAAGAGATGCATGGTGGAATGATGAAGTGAAAGAAGCTGTAAAGAAGAAGAAGAAAGCATGGTTAGACTACTTGGCCTCTAGTAATGATAAGGATATGAGAGAGAAGATGAAAGAAAGATATAGGCTGCAGAAAGTTCACACGAAAGCACTGATTGAGGAAGTGCGTGAAAGGTGTAGAATGGAAGCGGACGAAAGGTTGTCGCACAACTTTAAGGAGAACTCCAAACTCTTCTGGAAAGAGGTTGGAAGGACCTGAAGTGGTGCGACGGCCTTAAGAATGAACAAAGTGCTTTCGAGAACTAATGACGTCCTCTCAGAAAAATCGGACGTCATGCAGCGATGGAGCGAATTTTATAGAGAAATGTATGCGTGTGATGATCTATTATCTTTATTTAATTCTCTCTGGCTACCCCGTCAGGGATTGTGCGTGAAGATAAAAAAAAAATATAAGAATTATTGAATAATTGGAGTTTTAACAGATATTTATTTATGCTAATATTTAATAATTATATGCAAAGTATACGTACTATTATTAGGTGCATATTATCAGTTTATTGTTTTTATAAATAGAAATGTTATTGTTTAAGAAAAACATTGGAATTGAAGAAGATATTAAGTTTACCGATGTTGGGTCAGCTGGCATCCAGCGGGATGCTTATTTGCTTTGCTGGATACCAAGTTACGTTAGTAAGTAGATGTGATTCCTCACTGCACACGTTTTGTTTTGTTCAAACAAACAAAAAAACATGTGTGCAGTTCACACGCGGTAAAAGCTTCAAAAAACTAAACTTCGAGAGAATGAGTACTAAGTATATGCTATATGTGTTATTATACAATTACTGTATAGATGTACCAGGTTGATCAATAAGTTTTCGGAACAGGACACTTATCAATGTGTTATAGAAATGCGTAATTTTTTTTCGAATATTAAATTCGTTAGTAGCCAAGTCCAGAATAAACTAAATTAAAAACTATACCTAATTTCTTTTTTTCAAACTTTACATTTGGCGGGAATTTGATTCGTATGTAAAATGGAGAACCTAGAAATTCAATTGGTAATTAATATTTCTGCCCGAAAAATTTTTCTACAAAATTTTTTTGAAGAACTGCAATCTACTTTGGCAGACAATGCTCCGTCTTATTCTACAGTGGCATACTAGTGCGCTGAATTTAAACGCATCAGAACCACCTCCCGCGACGACACACGCTCCGGGCGGTCAACAACGGTTGCGTTTCTCGAATGTTAAGAGATGCTTAAAAAGAAAGCAAGATTTAACATTTCAAAGCTAAATTTAGAAATTATTGAAGGAGATCCAGATTCAGTAGATGAAATATGGGTATACCATTTTGATCCGGAGACGAAAAACCAAAGCAAGTTGTAGAAAAGCCTGTCTTCTCCGCCAGCCAAGAGGTTCAAGATGTCTGCATCTGCTGGAAAAATAAGGGACTCTGTCTTATGGTGTGCTGAAAGGATAAAAATGGTCGACTATTATATTATAAGTAAACGAGAGACAAGAGTATTATGCATCATTAATCAAAAACTAGGTGAAGAACTACTGAATAAACTCGGAGGAAAATTGGGTGCTGGAGTGCTTTTTTATCATGATAATACTGCCCATCGATCTGATATTGCAGACGCTGCATTTGAACTGCTGAGTTTCAATTGATGCAGTACCTATCATATTCTTCAGACCAAGCTCCGAGTGATTTTCACCTTTTACTCACCTGAAAAAGCACTTGCGTGGTATAAAATTAGACGGCGACGATGAGGTGACACATCACCTCATCGTCGCCGTCTAATGTAGAGGCATTCAAGTCCCAGGATCGAGGCTTTTTTCCTAACGAATGAAGCAACTAGCAAAACCCTAATCAAGGTGTATTAACTTTACGTGATCGACGTTAAAAATAAATATAATTTACATATGCACATCTTAGGGTTTCATTGCGTTTCCAAAAACTTATTAATCAACCTAGTATATGTTTGTCTCTTTTTGGTATCGCTTTTTTATTTTCAAATCACAAGTAAAGATTTTTTATTCAAATTTATTATATTGTATAAGTACAGATATGTGCATAAAGTAAAACAATAAACTACATACACCTCACGACTTAGCACAGGCCTCCCCTCATTTCATAAAAGGTTTTAAGATAGAAGCTGTCCGCCGTGCTGCCCCAATACGAGTAGTAATAGGTATTCGCATCATTATACTGAAATTATATAATGAAGTGGTTATTAATTATTTTGATTTTTGATAAACTTTCGTTTCAATTCGTGAAATTAAATTTCAAGTTTCTATAAAATATTCTAACAGTAAACTATACTAATAAAATATTGACTTGGTTTTTTCTATCAATAAATTCTCAGTAACAACACAGAGTCAGGAAGTTGACGGTGTTTCACCATCGTGCCTCGTAAAGCACGTAAAACAGTTGGTCTTGCGCCTGATCTCTATGGTCGTGTCAGATTGGCGTCTCATCGGACTGTTAGAGTGAGAAAAAAGAGAGAGCACCTGAGCTTGCGTATACACTCGGGTACTATAATCGTGTCCGGCCAAGAGGCCTAGACTCCATTGAGACTGGTCGCCATGATCAAAATCGATTTGGTGTAGAAAATAAATCTACAATATAATATGAGATAAATAAAATATTTTTACGTAGTAGAGCCGTGCTGCAGCTATATTACTAGTATAGTTGTAGCACGAATGGGTCGGCTCAACCGGGGAAGGACCACGCTTTAGTAGACCCTTTTTACAGGAAACGAAACATTCCATCTTAGTCCTCACGGATGATAACGCATCTGCATTTTGATTCTGGAAACGAAATGAAAATAATTGAGGATAGGTGTAGATGCCTATGGGCCACAACAACTACTTACCATCAGGTGGACTTTGTGCTCGTTTGTTACCCTTATCCTATAAAAATATAGATAGACAGGTAGTTAGGTAGACAGGAATTTGAAATTCACGGCTGGATAAACGCCCTTCTTAGACGTCAAGAAGAAGCTTAGATACAATAATAACTCATGTAAGGTACATAATCCTCGAAACCGTGCACTGGAAATAATGTTTCTATGAATAATGAACATAATGTTTCTAATTTCTAGACTGTGAAATTAAGCATTGCAAAATTTTTAACTAGCCTATTGTATTTGGCGTACAGCGTGTTTCAGCTATTTATATTTTGCCGTTGGTGCGACGAAATTAAGATGCAGGTCAGATTTTTATTTCGATTATTTTGCTTATCTATCTTATCAATAGTTTTCACTTAGTTTTATGAATCATTTTATTGAATGTTGAAACAGAGAAACATTAATATTTCATTAATATCATTGCAGCCTATCACAGCTAAACGTAGGCCTTCCCCTAAAGTCTGGCACAAAGCCACTTGCATCCACTCTCCACATATCTCATCAGTTGGTTACTCTTTAGTCTACCTATATTGTAGGAGTCGTTTTAGGTTTATTATATTAATCTGCTACTGTATGACTATTATATTATGCTTTACTAAATATATTATAACGCAATGTAAACAGGATTATTTTACAATACACGCCCAAACTTGCAAAGAAAGTTCAGAATAAATAATATAGTTGAAGAAAAATAAATAAAAAATCTCAAACATTCAAAAATTCAGAATGCGTGGTAATGCTAAATTTTAACTATCATTCGTAAATATCTAACGCCTACTATTTTACTACGCACGACATTCGTAAAGGTCGCTCGGTTGACAAAAACGTTCCGAATTGAACACACAGGAGCGCGCGTAGGCATAGTTGTTGCTTATAAATCACATTCAATTTGGGATAATTTGGATTAAAAGTAGAAGCCTTATTTATTCAAATTTTCAAAAACTGCAAAAACTTTTTGAAAATTGGAATAAATAAGACTTCTTTTTAAACATAAAATTTGGATATAGGATCCAAATTATAACAAAAAATAACATTATATAAATGTTACACATTTGAATTGAAAACATATTTTGAACATTTAATACTATTATTCAAAATTACTCTAAAGCTAAAGCAGAAGCAAATATTCAAAAGTCATACGTAGACTTTTATTTCATGATACCTGTACGTTCTTAAAAGCAAGCCAACGCTTTTGATTGCACTCTAAACTTAATGCTCTCATAACAGCTTTTTATTAGCGATGCGATCAGAATCTCATGCATCTTAATTTACCAAATAATGTCAATATCTAAACCGTATAATGATATTATACACAGACTATGTGAATAATATTTAAGAATAAGAAATATGATTAATGCTTAACACTGCTTGCTATTCATACTCTAATAACCTATCCGTGTAAGATAGTAGATAGTTGCAGTATCAGTGAAATGAAAACAAACAGCTAAGAAAAGGTACTACATATATCCACGTAGTCTCCTCGCTAATGTAAATAAATAACAAAAATAAGAACGCTCCAAATCTTTAAAATGGTTTCTATTGTTACTAACATTTTTAGTAACGGACGGTGTCAGACGGTTGAATGAACCTCTTCCATAGCACGTAGGATTTACCTTTCCTCACTGCTGTAGAAAAGGCCCACCACCACGCTTGGCACGAAGTATTGGCTATCGCAGTTCCAATCACCTCGCACTTTTCACGTTGCTTCCCGTTGCTGTTAAGGCGTTTTATGCCTAGTATAAATATGCAATGTTTTAATATTGTCGTCAATTGTAGGCCACAAAAAAATCTGGAGCTTTTCTGCTCTGATGTTTTCCCTTACTCCGCCACCTGACCGCTGAATTAACAGACAATATTAATTATGGATTTTCCAGTCTAGACGCTTCATTATCTCTTCCAAAAATGTGTCGATGTTTTGTCCTGAGGATTCTTTTGTTACGTAAAGTTATCTGCTGTGCTTGCGTGTACATTGACGGCACATTCATTTTTCGTGCGCAGTTGCACAACTTCATCATGATTATTTACAATATTAGTACTTATAGCTTGTCATCAATGACATTGAAACTATATTAAAAGCATATTATGATTTTTTTAGAGTGAAAACATTACCAATGCAGTGTACTCTTCAAGTTGGAACTGCGAGATTGTACTGATATCTGGTGTACGGTCTCGCATCCTACTCGTTATGGCTCGGGCTCAGAAGCCGGTTTATTTGTCTGCTGGAGGATTTTGCGATGTCTCTCTGGCCGCATTCACTATTGTAAGTTTTAATGTAGTAATGTTAAAAGTAATAATTTATTTATGTTTGAGCTGTAATTGATTCCCTCCATTTCGTAGGGTTTAAAGATAAATGTAAAAGGGAAGGAGGACTCCAAATGCCCACCTAAACGCACAGAAAACTGTGTTTAAACGGACGAGATTTTGCCTTATTTGTCAGTATTACATATACAGGGTTATTTTTCAAAGAGTAGCCAAATTTTAAACTTAAGTGCAAATATATAAATAATTATTACTTTTATTTAAAATTATCCCAAATTGAATGTGATTTATATGCAACAACTACGCGTACGCGCGCTCCTTTGTGTGGGAATCAATTCACAACGTTTTTGCCAACCGAGCGGCCCTTACGAATGTGTGCATGCGTAGTAAAATAGTACGCGTTAGATATTTATGAATGACAATCAGTTAAAATAATGCATAACCACGCATTTTGAATTTAAAAGATAAAGGGACAAAATTATTGATATATGTTTTAATGAATTTTTCTTCACCATTTGCCTATATTATTCTGAACCTTCTCTGCAAATTTGACTGGTTGTTGTTAAAATAACCCTATATGTCCAAAGCATTATAATACCAACTTCTATTAGGAGTCAGCTTCAGAATTACCTCAAAACACCGTCCACTTAGACCGACCATCTTGTGAGAAGACCCTCGAGATCGTTATTAGTATACCTAAAGAAAAAACGTGCGGGTGTGAGGAGGTCATTTTAAAATTAAGTTTAATTTTCCCAATGTGGTATAGTAATACAATGAATAAGAGATTTATATTCTCGAGCACACTATAGGCAATTTTGGCGTATTCTTAAACAGACCTATTTAAAAGCTTTTTAGTTTTTTTAAATAGGTGATAAACGAGCTCACTTTCTAACTTTCTATAGAACTACATCTATGCTCAAATGTAAATAATAACTGAAATGAAAATAATAGTTACTAGTAAAAGGTCTTCTGTTCTCGTCACTAAGTATTTAAAACTCAGCAGACTAGTAATGTTGTTGTAAGCGTGGTGGGATGTTATTTCACGTAGGTATTTCCTTGTTGAAATATGAAAAATATGCTGTAGTGTGGTAATAAGAAGTAAATATGTTGTATGTTATATAATTTAAAGCTAAATTATTAATCATCACATTCATTAACAATCCTGTTAAGGCCACTGCTGGAGATAAGCTGCACCAACAATGCGCTAGCATCCTTTATACGCCGTTGGTGAGCGTAAAATCAAGACTCTAGCCGAGCTGAAATCTTACAAGCTTGTGATGAAAGGAAATTAAAAGTCTAAATTTGAGATGTATTTTCCACCATTATTCGTTCATCAGACGCACTGTCATTAGGATGATGATGGGAGTGGACCTGTTAGGAAAAGTTAGTGGAAACTCCCCCTAACACCCTTACAAAATTATTTTATGTTCCTATTAATTCTTACTCATCCATTATTTATATTCTTTGCAGTTGATGAAAACTTCCTACAGCGCTCTTACCGTTTTGCTTCGCTTTCAAGATTAATGCGTCGTTCTTTTCCATAGGAATTTTGCACTTCCCCGAGTTGTTCGTGTAAATATTTTACAGATGTCAGACAACAAAGAGAACAACGATTATAAATTAGAACGTTGAAATGTGTAAACAAAGCTTGTACTATTATTGCATCAAAACATATAACATTATTAAAAATAGATTTAAATATAATGAACCTATGTATGAAAAAAGATGGTTCTCAAAATTATAAATAATGTCATATAGTTATTTAATTTCACTATGCAAGGAAACAAAAACGTATCTTTATAAAATCTTAATAAGAGAATTTTAAGTCGCATTATATGTTTATTGTCTATTATTGTTCTATTATTATTGAAATTCTAGAAAAAAATCATTGAAGTTTTATGTTATGTTATGAAGTTATATGAATGTATCCATAAAATATGGGTTCGTTAACGGCTGCGAATTTTATGACGCGAAAGATATTTTGTAAGCTGCCTACCAAATGATATTTCATTTCGGGCTATAAAAGAAATTTGATACAGAATGTGATAGGGCTAAAAGGCCTTTTTAGAACATTTGTTAAGAAGTGAAGAAATTATGAGTAGATATCATAAAACTAGTTTTACGGATTTTATCGCGTATATTAACTTATTTTATATTCCCGACGTACGCTGAGGTGTATGAGGCCCCAATGTCATAGTTAACCACAAATTAAAAATTATTAATTTTTTTCCAATCTACGCAGTATGAACTTACAGTATCTTGAAGTCTCGCAGTTTTATGCTTGGGTTCGGATTTAATTTTATTAATTATTTGATCCCAAGCAGATGGTAGCACCCAGCCATCTTCTCTATTGAAATTAGGATGTTTTTTGATTTCAATAGCCTCGCGAATCATCCTTGGAAGGAATAGGTGTTCTTTAGCGAGGATTTGTGGTCAAATCTAATGTAGTGACGAGGGTGATCCTGTACGTGTTCACAGACTGCAGACTTCCCGGAGCGTCGATACTTCAAATTAGCTATGTGTTCTTGTTGATAAAATTATATCTGAATTTTAGACGTAAAATATAAGTGGGTTGATATACAGTAGTATACAGTTAGTATATTTCTTTTCTTCTTTTTTTTTCGATGTGAATCTTCTTTTCGTGTTATCCTTATTTTTTGAAGGTTAATTGCCAAAAATTAAATCTTCACCTTGTTTATCCCTCATGTTCTCTATAACCTTATGAAGAAGAAAAAAAATATATATATATATATATATATATATATATATATATATATATATATTACTCGTTATTGAATAAAAGACTTGTTTGTAGTATTAATAATTATACTTAAGGTATTATTATGTTGGTTTTACGATAAAGTTTTCTTGAAACAGCTGTGTAATAAATTAAAGCACTTAGCGCAAATTTCTAGTTACCTTGCCACTTGCTACATATAAGTTTGTCTCGAGTTTTGAAGTAAATTCTCCTCTATCTACATATTTAAGTTATTAGCACTGTATGCTCTTATAAAATTTAAATTTAGATGGAAGTATACAACTTTTATTGCTATATATAATGCATCGATCCTTCGTTATTACATTACTTGTAGGTATATTTTTTAGTATTGTGTAAATGTTTTATTCAGTAGTAAACTTGTCATGGACTATAATGATGTTGATGATGATAAGGTTTTTATTTGTGAAAATGCCGTTTTGTTGACTGGTCACTTTAAATGGTAGTATCTATTGGTGTAAATTGGAATTCTAAATTCAATTAAATAGTTTATATTGAAAGGTATGTTATTCTATTATCAAAATCAACTATACAAAAGAACCTTATGGCCGCCTGTAGGAGAAGGTTGATAAAGACAAACTGAAGCTGAAAGCGGATTCATCTCTTACACCAAAAGCCTTTGGTTTTGATACTAACGTCAAAAAGCTTTTGATAAATCTATAAAAATAATATAAGATCATATGCGGGAAATAAATAAATTATATAGAGAAAATCTTCGCGAGAGAAATGAGCCAGTTTGAAAAACATAATAGTTAAAGCGGTAGACTTACGATATTTCAATAAGCTTCATGTTTTTTTCAGTTAATCCCCTATACCTGAGTTACATGAAACGGGGACTCTTTAGTTTGACCGGCGGTCGATATAGAGACGCTCAGGTGTTAAAGGTGTAAAAAAATTACCAAAAAAAAACTTGATAGCAATAAGTCTGCCGCTTTGACATCTTGAAATATTCAATAAAAGTTACCGAAAAATTACATTGACAGACACCTATGGCGGTCGCAAGGCCATGGCAGACAGGTTGATAAGTACAATTTTTTCTTTATAACTTACGTTACTTCAATAAAGCTGCAAATTATATATATTTTTGTTAATACTATTTGACATATATATCTTGCATGGCAGACATATATTGTGGTTCTATCACCCAGGCAGACAAAGAACTTCAGTGACGTCCATAAGCGCGTACTACAGCTAGTATAGCTAAAAATACTTGCTTTCAACCGTTCGTTAGTATTAGTCATCACCATCATCATCATCATTATTACAGCCCATCACAAGTCCACTGCTGAACATAGGTCTCCCCCAAGAAATGCCACAAAGCACTGTCCTGAGCCACCTGTATCCGTCGACTTCCCGCATGTCTTAGCACTTCGTCATCTTATCATCTACTAGGGATCACCTTACACTGCGCCTACGAATACAAGGCTGCAACTCGAAAAACCTTTTTTCCCCATCGGTTGTCGGTTCTTCGAGCTATATGGCCGCCCCGTTGCCACTCCAGCTCACTAATCCGTTGGGTTATGTTAGTCACTATGGTACTACTGCGGCTATTCTAAACTTAGTAAACTCCACAGCTCGCTGAGCGTCATTGAGCTTTCTCATACGGCCAGCAGTGAAGGGCCACGTCTTAGTGTGGCGCACCACCTGCAACAATACTAAATACACAATAATATACATTATAACATACACAATAAAATACATAAAAATACACAATTAAATAACACATTAATAAACACACAAACAAATTTCAATTCCCACAAATACACTCGTCGCACATTATATATTACATTTTTTTATTATTTATTAATATTACATAAAGTTTACTTACCTACCTCTTCACGAGAAGTATCCCGCGGTGCGCCGGAGCATAGCAACAGGCGAGCCGCTCACCAGTAACGCGTCAACTTCCCTACGTGAAACCTGTGTCGCTCGCTGCTAGTTACTGACTACGTATATTTCGTGCCGAACTTAATTAGTGTTGATTATCAGACGTAAAGTTGTAAAGAATTGTGTGTCCGTAATAAATAAATTCATACAGTGAATACGAACATTTTATTTATATGTGAAGGGACCTTAATTACATATAGGTGTATATAGGATAGCAGACCATTGTCTACATACTGGTGACTCCGACTACGCAAAGAAGATCTAAAGGTACCAATTACATTTACGAAAACTTATTTACTTACCTTAAAGAGATGTCAAGGGTACGAGATACTAATCTAACTAAGGAAACAATCCCGACGAAAAATGACGAAACTGAAAATTTGCAGCCAGCTATGGAATTATTTCGTGTCGGTGTTAAGGTGCCACCATTTTGGCCGGATCGCCCCGTATTGTGGTTTGCCCAACCAGAGGGACAATTCGTATTATCAGGGATAAATTCGGATACCACAAAATTTTATTTTGCATGCAGCAATTTAGACCACCAATATGCGGTTGAAGTGGGTGACGTAATCGAAAATCCACCCAAAGAAAATAAATACGAAACTCTTAAGGGTGAACTGATCCGCAGACTCTCGGCGCCTAGTGAAGAGGAAATAAAACAGTTCCTGAGCAGCGAAGAGATGGGTACCAGAAAACCGTCACAGTTTTTACGCCATCTTCAGCATCTCGCTGGGCGAAACATACCAGAAGAATTTGTTCGCACGACATGGTATAACAGGCTACCACCAAACATACAGCCGATTATCGCGTCACACTCCGATATGCCTATGGACAAATTGGCTGAACTAGCTGATAAGATTCTAGCAGTAGCAGCACCAACACCTCAAATCTCAGAGGTAGCCCCTCCTACATCATCCTCTATCAATAAAACTTGGATAGCAATGGAAGCCATGGCAAAACAAATATCTGAGCTCACTAAACAAGTGGCAGTATTGAGTACCAGACAATCTCGTCCACAATCTCGTCCACAGGGGAGACGTTTTTATAGAAGAAAGTCACGATCTCGTTCCAAATCTCAAATCAGGAATGGTATCTGCTACTACCACAATAAATTCGGAAGCAATGCATATAAATGCACAACGCCATGTAGTTTCCAGCAGGGAAATGTCAACGGCAGTCACTAGTGGCGGTGAAGGACTGCCTTGATGAGTGCAACGGCCGCTTTATCGTAGAACGGAAAACGAAGATGGAATTTCTCGTCGATACCGGTTCTGACCTCTGCGTTTTTCCGAAGACCGCGACCGCAGGGTACCGCACGAAGACAAAATTCGAGTTATTCGCGGCAAACAACACCACTATATCGACATATGGTTACATTCATCTTCATCTAGATTTCGGCCTGCGAAGGGATTTGAACTGGAGGTTTGTCGTGGCTGATGTGACGAAACCCATACTCGGTGTAGATTTCTTAAGCCACTACAATTTACTCGTAGACTGTCGTCACCATCGCCTAATAGATGGACTTACAAGCCTTTCCGTGGCTATAGCACATCGAAACAGCCTTAAAGAAGAAATCGTCTCTATTAAAGCAGTATCTGGGAACACCCCATACCACACCTTGCTAAAACAATATCCAGAAATAACAAGACCTGCCGGTGCTCCCATTGAACCAAAACACAGTACAAAGCACCATATTCGCACAACTCCCGGACCACCGGTGAATTCACGTCCACGCCGATTAGCTCCAGATCGCCTAAATATAGCAAAGAAGGAATTTGAAGAAATGCTATTTAACGGAACAGCGCGCCGATCGGAAAGCCCATGGTCGTCCCCGCTATACCTAGCGCGAAAGAAAGATGAT